TTTTTTTTTTTTTTTTGAGATAAAGCTCATGCTAGTGGTGTCATGCAGCGCCATCAACTTGCATCGATGCCTGCAGGTACATAAGAAGGCCAGTGTTAGACAGGAGTGGGCCATATTTCAAGCCAAGCGATGAGTCGTTGAATCTCCAGCTAGGTTTCTTTTGTGACAAGTGACTTAAATGAATTTGTGGTTTACTTTGGCTCTCTTCTCAAGGCATCAAATGTTCTCTGACTGTACCTATGCCGACCCAGTGGAGAAATCCCCCTCTGTCCTTTGCTTCTGACCTTACTGCCTTGAGGGAGTTTCAGACAGATGTGTATCTGAAGCGCTGTGCTGCTCATGTACGTCCTTGAGCCTCATAGACTGCGGAATCTGTGTCACTATTTCCTACTCTTTGAACTGAATCCATTTGACACCCTTTGGTCTTCCCTCACGCTCTGATATTAGCGTTTGGTTCTCGGTTTGTACAGATGAGTCTGGGATTCACATTTATCCCACCAGAACTGCCCCTTCTTTGTGTAACCTTTTGCCCATCTTGATCTGTGAGCGTAGTTTGAATTTCCATCAGGTCAATTTGTATCGTAACCAGCCCCAAAGGGGAAAATAGCTGTGGAAGTTAGCAGAATGAAGTTTACAGTAACTGAGTTTGGCAGAGGAGAAAAAAGGGCCTGAGTTCAGTTGAGGATAAAATGTACTGCGTGTTGCTCAAAATTAATACGAACAGAAAATTGGCCTGATGGAATATTCAGTCAGTGCCCTCTCTCCTGTGTGTGAGTACCCGCTTCCCTGAGCTGTTTGGATGCTGGAAAGAAGGCACATGTTTATAAGTCTTAAAATGTGACCAAGGTATGGCTTACAAGTACATCATGACTAATTCCCAAAGCACAACACTATCCTTGAAAGAAGCCAAACACTAATGAGCCAGGAAACTTGAAAACTCAGATCACTCCAGATAATTGTCTGCTGCTAGAATCCCCTTCTAGTTGGGTGACTGTTGAGTATTAAGGAGAGAGAAAAAGGGCCACCTTTCTAGGAAAAAGATTGTTGTTGTTGTTAAGTCTTAACAGATTTTGATTCTCCACAAAGGTGGTAGAGCTGTTAGACTGATAGCTTGCCTTGCCTTGCCTAAATGTGGATTTCTTGTGTTGAAATGGTTTCCTGTTACAAATCCACAGCTTTTAACTTTGTCATGTTTTGGCCTTAGCAAATCAGGCTGTGATTGTGATCCAAGTCCTTGTCTGTAAATAGCTGCGAGGACATTTACCTGCATGAGAAGGAACTAGAGCAAAACCAAAGCAGAAACATAAAAGGCAGAATAGAGACTTAAGTTTTTCCAGGATGCAAGAATGCTAAATGTTCTCCATTGTTGAAAAGGGAAAGCTTAGAAAAGAAATGTTTAAATACATCCTTGCTGTTCCTAACCCCAAGTGGGCTAAGTAGGAGAGGATAAGGGAGTCTGAGTCTGTGCAACTAACAGTCCACCTAGTCCTGTATCCTATCTGCAGATGCCTGGGGAAGAGCATAAGTTCTGGCAAGAACTGATATGAGACATACTATAAACTACAAAGGACTGGCCTGTCCTCACTGCAACGTGGACAGAAATGCATGTAGGAACTGAAGAGCACCAATACTGAGTGGTACTTCATGTTTAGACACAAGAAGACTTCTTGATTGATGTTGGTCACTTGTCATAAAATCCATGTTTATCCTGAGATCCTTAAATATACGTAAATTGTGGAATTACTGGTAGATCTTTTCTTTTGCTGAATGTCATGCTTGTTTGTGTTTGTTGTTACCTTCTGTAACTAAGCAATGCAATGCTGACCAGAGGGCATCTTCTCTTATTCCGCGTTTCAGATCGGCTCAACCTTCCAAGCGTGCTGGTACTGAACAGCTGTGGCATAACCTGTGCAGGGGATGAGAATGAAATCGCTGCCTTCTGTGCTCATGTGTCTGAGCTAGATCTTTCTGACAATAAACTGGAAGACTGGCATGAGGTAAAATGGTTACATGTGCATCTTTCTGAATAACTTTGATGGCTGTTACTATGACTGCAAATGCATTGCAGGTTATAAGAGTACTTCGTTCATTTAAAGTAGAGAGATTTCAATTTTTTGTGGCTTCTTTCTCATCTTTGAAGCTGATGCTTATTTACTTTGACAACAACTGAGCAATAAACGTGATGAATTTAATTCATTTGGGCACTTCATTCCATTTACCTCATGACTTACAATCTTGGCCTGTGGGTGACAAATATATTATCATGCAAAGCACCGGAACTGGGGTTTCTAACATCAACAGATTAATGAGCGGTGCAGTTTTTAACAGAGTAAGACCTGAGGAGGTCTAAGTAATGGGAGTTGATTCCCAGCTTTGCCACCGATTCTGTGATGCTGGGCAAGGTATTTATTTTCTCTCTGCTTTTGTTTCCCTATCTGCAAAACAGGTTTAATAACATTTACCTCAAAGAATATTTCTGAGGCCTCATTAATTAATGCTAAATGCTGTTATAAAATCCTCTGAAGTGCTTGGATGAAATATGCTAGATAAATGCAATGTAATACAAGTAAAACAATTGCAATTTGTTCAAGTGTTGTTACAGTTCCTCACTGGCTTATGTTCTGCTTTTATGTTAGTGTTTATTGTTGGAAATATGTGGAAAAGAACAGGATGTGCAACATGAAAATTATCATGTGTTTCTGTTGCATCAAGCTGCTACGTCTTTAAACAAGTAGTGAATGCAGTGTTTGCAGAAATGTCCCAGTTCTGGCACGGGAGTCGCAAAGTCAGACGTGGGATAGGTTTCCCTGTTTCTGTTATTTCCTTGTTAGCCTAGAAGGTATTAGCTCAGTGAGTGGGAGAGAGATCTTAGGCTTGTCTGTTGAGATTAGAGCCAGGGAAGATGGTTTTGTACCGAGGGCATATCTGCTAAGAACTGGGATGGTGTCTCCTGACTTGTTTTATTCTGACCCTGAAAGGCCCCCTCCCACAGTAATGAGGTGCTCTCTCTCCGCTCCCTGTTCTGCCTTTTATTCTCAGCGGGGCTCGCCTCACATCTGGTGAGCAGCTGGGAGAGCTGCACATACACTTGTTGCTCGTAAGCTGCATGCCTCACACCCTGCTATTTGTTCAGTCTGTTTAGGCTACCCTGGACAGGACAATTTGCTGGCTTTTGCATGAGCCGCAGTAAAGCAGGAAATGAAAGGTTTTCTGTGTACTTTGGCCCCTTCCTCCGAGATGGGATTAAGTTTTCATAGGCCATCTGCAACAGATAAATATCTACCCAAGTCTTAAAAACTGCCAGTGATGGTGTTTCCAGATCCCTGGGTAGCCTGTTCCCATGCTTAGCTAATAACCTCATAGTCTAAACTATGTAACTTAAGTCTCCCATGCTGTAATTTAAGCCAATTGCTCCCTGCCCTGTTCTCAGCAGACACGGAGGAGCATTCATTGCTGTTCCTTATATGACAGCCTTTTATACCCACGAAGAAGAGCTTTCATGTCTTCTTTTCCTATTTTAGTATAATACTGAAAAAATCCAATCATTCATCGTAGGCCAGTTTTTCTAAATCCTGTGTTGTTTTTGTTGCTCTGATGTCATTCCAGTTTGCCTACTTCATTCCTAAGGCATAGTGCCCAAAACATGACATCACCTAAGATGAGGTGCGAAGTGAGACAGACTAATTACCTCCAGCATCACGTATGCAACACTTGAATTCAACCTCCGCATGATACAATTGCCCTTTGCTATCAAATGGGCCCTGTTATTGACCTGTGGATGTCATGGTCTGCCCCATCTCCTCCCATCCCAATCGCTTTGTGGAGTGGAGCTCTCTAGCTAGGTGTTCTCTGACTCGTAATTATTTTCTGGATGAACGTTAGTACTTTGACTATCCTTCAACTGAACTTGAACCCATCTTACGGGTTTCAGGTGGCTTCGCTTTGGCCTCTAGTCTTGTACTGCAATGTGATGGCAGCCTTTCCCACCTTAGTATCACCTGCAGATTAAGAAAACGCAATAGCGTTCAATTATTCTGGTCATTGAAAACATAACGAGTAGCATTCTGCTAGAACACTCCCTTGGTATGTCTGCTAGCTTTGTATTGAACTCTTAACTTACAGTGCTATCCCAGGCACTGTAAGTCCCCAGTTTGTCTATGCGACTGGTGTGCAGATGGTGTCGGAAGCTGTCGTTCCCTTATACTACTTCCCACTGAATCAGTTACCCAGTCGAAGAGGAAAATTAGATTGACGTTATGTGTTCTTTACAAATTGATGCTGCCTGGCTACTCTCTTCACTTAATCATTATTAGATGACTACAAATTGATCATATAAATAACTTGTTCCCATATCTTTCTGTGTATTAGCAGTATCTAGGTCAGCACCTATCCCGATCACACGATCCGTTATGTATTCCACACTCCAGAGCTGTACAGACGTCGTCTCTGACTTTTCTTTCTCTTTCTTGATCTTTTTTCCTTACCTCTCTGCTACTTTGCCCTCAGGTGTGCATCTGTACGCACAAAAAGAGAAAGTAGCCCCAACCAGAGTTACCTGAACATTTGGATTCACTGTAAGAAAGCTGCTGTTTTCAGAGTAATGGAATTGAATAAGAAATTCATTGTACGTGTACAGTGAGCTTCTATCTGTCTTTTACATTGGGCAAAATGGCGAGGTATGTGACTAGTGGGGAGCAGTGGAAAGCTGAGCAAGTGATCAGGTTGTTGGCCATAAACTCAAGCTGTGCCCATTGCCTCCCTGCTAAAAGAGGGGTTCGGCATGCTGGGTCCTGTAACGTGCTGCTGCTTAAGCTTGGTGTTGAGGTGGATTTTATGACCTTTCCCAAGAGACTGACTTTCTCTTATCAAGCTGCTCGGATAGTGTAATTAAATGAACTGTTGAGGTGAATGAGCAATTAACCAATCAATCTAGATCAGCGAATAGCTAGAGTATGAATTACAGGTAGTTATCCAGAAGCCTTATTTTTTTCCCCATATCGTTTCTTTGGCTTGTGGTGATTCCGAAGGGCCCCCTTTTAGGAGACGGGATATTACTGCATGAGGTCCGATTACTGCCTGATACGCATTTCTTTCTTTCTCTTTTTTTTTTTCCTCCCCACTTAGGTCAGTAAAATTGTGTCCAACGTTCCCCACTTGGAGTTTCTAAACTTGAGTTCCAACCCTCTCAGTTTGTCCGTTTTAGAGAGAAGGTGTGCTGGGTCTTTCGCTGGTGTTCGCAAACTTGTGCTCAACAACAGCAAAGCTTCCTGGGAAACAGTCCACACAATCCTGCAGGAATTACCAGAGTAAGCATGGGGAGTTGGGCGTAGAAAGGGGTGCTCGCTGCACGCAGGTCAAGGCTGGCTTATCAAATCACATGGTGAGGGAGAGAGGGGTGTGAGGATGCAAACATGATCAGTAGAGAAAAAGGGAATATTTTTCTTTGGGAGCTTGGGAACTGGCCAGGTGAATGCTTTACATTGTCTTAAAAGCTGAACTTGTGTGACGCTGCAAAGCCTGGGGCTTCTTGTCCAAATCTAAATGGATAATCACCCCAGCAATGTAGGAGGTGACACGCTTTCCTCTGAGTCGCTGCAGAATGAATGGTGCAGTGCATACCTGTACTAATAGCTTTTGAATGGGATGTAAGTCTGAGGGTCTGGCCACTTGTCAAGTAATATTTCATCGTGCTTTTCTGTGCAAAAGTGTTGATTTCTGTGGCTTGGTCACAGTCCACCTTGGCAGTGGCATTCTGCTTCTGCGAATGTCCTCGGTGGCTTCATTTTGATAACAGGTTCCTCTTCGTACGGCTTCGTAAGCGGAGATGATGGCAGCAGTATATCCTGCGTGGCCAACGTACACTTCCCTGGGATTAGGAGAGCTAGTTTAGTTGTCTGAAAACTTAGTGGGACCTGTTCTTTCTTTAATGGGAATCTTTGGCAGAACCAGTGATGTGGGGAAGAAATTGTCATCTGTGTTGTATAAAAACACCTTTTTGAATTAAGCGGTGAGCATTCAGAGCAGGTACCAATCACCATTGGAGTTGGGTTGGTGGCTTGTTGGGCACAAATGTGGAACACCACCCCGAGCAATCTGTTACACAATTAATACTGGGAGGCTAGGAGAACACTTAGAGGTGTTTTTCATCTGCAGAGGAAGTTTACGGATGGGAGCAGAAACGTAGTCGAAACACTCCATTTGAAGTGCTCAAAGGCCTTCTCTACACCAAGGTTTCAAATCACATAAGAGCTGTTACAGAAAGTCGTGTTAAAATTGCGTATGAATGTCCCTGTACCCGAGAGGGTAGCTGTTTTTCAAGGTATATTGAGATGATGATACGATCTTTCTTTCCCTGTGCAGCTTGGAGGAGCTCTTCCTGTGCCTTAACGACTATGAAACAGTGTCTTGTTCTCCAGTTTGCTGTCAGTCTCTCAAATTACTCCACATAACTGACAATAATCTTCAGGACTGGACTGAAATTAGAAAATTGGGAATTATGTTTCCATCACTGGACACACTTATTCTGGCTAACAACAACCTCACGACCATTGAAGAGTCAGAAGATTCCCTAGCAAGGCTGTTCCCCAACCTGCGATCCATCAATTTGCACAAGTCAGGTGAGAGCCTGGAAGCAGTATGCTTTTTGTTCTCAGCATAAGTGACAGCGGTTGATTGGAGTCTCTCCTCCTGAGTAGGTGAAAAACACACTTGTTTTGTGCTCTTTGAAACTTTGGCCGTGGGGTGGTTGCTTCTTAGGCCTGTGTTGGCAGTAAGTTGGCTGCAGTCAGCATTGCTTCCTGCAAAGCATGCGAGGGGGCAGGTGAAGGCAGAAGTGCTGAGCACGAGCCTAAACCTTTGGGATAGTTCTGTTGCTGTAGCAGAGATGAAAATGCCCAGTGACCTTTGTCCCAATCTATCCTGGCTTCTCGGCAGAATCAAAAAGCTGTTGATAAATGTAGTCCCAAAAGACCTATCATGCTGAAGTCCGGTTTCCTAATGGTGCTAATGCAGGGCCATGCAAGCAGATGTACTGAAGTGTACTGACCTGAAGAATGTAGCGTTAGGAGAGGAAAACAGGCAAGAAATCAACTTGCCCATCTCTGTGGGCTTTACCTGCTGCTTTTGGTAGTTAGTCATTATCTAAAAGATGAGTCAGAGTAGCATGGAGTGGCAGTTACTCAAAATGAGCTGGCAAAGGTTTTTTACATTAGTAGTTTCCCTCTGTTCCTTGTCCCTGCCTCAGGTGCTCCTGGCTGGAGAAGGATAAATAAATGTCTGGCCATGGAGGGGATGAAAGAATCCCATTTGCCTTTTATTCCCTGTTTTATCTTGGGTAAAATGAGCGTATGTGTAGGTATGTGGCGTGTAAGGGCCAAGCAGTCACCAGCAAAAGCTGTCTGTCATCTGTGGTCAGTTATTAGAAGCTCACCACGAGTGATGCTAGAGGCTGCTTTTACACTTTAGCCCCAGAGAATTTTTAGCCAACGTTCCAGAAAGAGAATAAGCGTTTGGCATATTGGGAAGGGCACCCTGTGCTCAGAGAGAGGGAGCTGCAGGGCAGCTCATGAGGGCTCTGACGTGTTTGCGAGATGACACATACGCCAGAAGTTCTTCCGCAGGAGTACTTAATGCATCATCTTTTGTTCTTTACAGCTTTATATGCTGTGCAAGCCATAGGTAAGTGTTAGCCAAGGTAGAAGGTACTTTATTAATAAGCTCTGCAATGTGAGCATTAAGGAATCCCTATAATAAAAGCTTAAAGCTAACAAGAGGAAGAAAAGCCTGTTAAGCTGGATTTGAAAGCACTGTCTCACTGAGGAGCAAGTGCTCCTGTGGTAAGTAGTTTTGCAATTTTGATGCCAGGTATTTAAGAACTCTGGATTCTGTATTGCATTTTGATGTTTTGGGAGCTGAAAGTCAAATAGAAATCCCAAGGAGCATGTTAAACTTTTTTTTTTTTTTTCGGGAAAGCTGCTGCACTCCAAAATTATGTCACGTGAAGACTCCAAACTGGTGCCTCTTTTTGCAGGCTCTTTTAGCTTAGTGGAGATCAGGGATGAGCTAAAGATAATGGTTTTTAGTGAAGCTATAGCGCAACAGGGTCACGAGGGGATGAACAGATTTTCCCACCGAGGCGGATGCCATGGCTGACAGCAGTTTCTTCTTCAGAGGCAGTTGTCTCTCTGCACTAGCTTTCTCCCAGCTACAAGAGCTTTTTGGCCCTTGCAGAGTGGCATGATTCAGAGGGGTACCGGGCACTCTTTGGTGAATTTGCACCCCAGAGACCAGCTGGAAGAGTTCTCCTCCTGTCACAAAATTCTACTCAGTTTGTCTGTAAATGTGGCTGATGCTGATAGCCAGAGGATGGCTTTAGGCATAGGTGACCTTGGCAGAGGTGTTTCGAGCACTATGGGGAAAGGAAACTCTCTCTTCCCGCCCCGCACACACTGCCGTGATACTTACAGGAATTATGTTTCTGCTCTGAAAAGACCCCCTTTTGACTTGTGGTTGTGACACACGGTTTGAACCGATAATTTTTCTGTTTTTTCACATTTTCTGTACTGTGTGGGTGAAACTGATGAATGTTGTTCAGAGAAACCAGTTTTCTAACTTGCGTTGCCAGTGTAAGCTTCTGGAACAGTCATCGGAAAAGCATCGCGGTAAACGTTTCTGCAGTCGCAGCAAAGGGAAGCGAAGATGAGTAGTGTTGATCTTGCCACATAATCAGGGCTGTACTGTTGTTCGATCCTCAGCTTTTTTATTTTACCCTCTCTGCTTGCCTTGTTATCCCAAATATCAGGTCTTCAGGGGGCTGAAATTGAGTTAAAGGCTTTTTCATTAAATGGCTGGATGGCTTCTGGGACTATTTTACCACTGGGTTTGAGTGGAAATGGGGCCCAAGGTGGTCATGTGTGCGAGGTGAAGCCATTTGATGGCTGTTTAGTGACGCCTAGAATGACAGAAGTCCTGATGACTTTAATACTACTTAAGGCAGCATCCCTTTATAGATGCAGCCATCATAACTGATGCTAGTCAGTTCTCGGCAGTGAGGCCAAAGACTGAATGGTCCATAAAAGCTAAGCTCCCTAATCAGCCATGGAGATCATCCTTCTAGACTTACAAAACAGCATGAGAGAATTTAAACTACTCTGTCTTGTAAGCAAATGAAGGAGATTTTTTGCAGTGCATCATGAGCAAAAAGCTGACTTCTAAAGAAACAGCAGCTGACGCTCGCCTGTCATGTATGTTCTTTGGCTGTGTCTGATTATCTTGGATACATGATGTATTATCTGTGTTTGTTTAAGCAAGTCTTTTCTTTCGAGCAGGTTTGCATTGCTGGGAAGACATTGACAAGTTAAATTCTTTTCCCAAGCTCGAGGAAGTGAAATTGTTAGGAATCCCTTTGCTGCAGTCCTACACCACTGAGGAACGCAGGAAGCTGCTAATAGCCAGGTCTGTTGCTTGTTTATTCTGCTCAGCAGAAGCGTTACATGGCAATGAATGGCTGGGAGTGGGTAGTTGGAGGAAGAGGCTGTTAGGAGATGGGGCTTTGTATGAATTCATTGCTCAGAAAGATTTGAACCTTTTTTTGTTGTGTGGAAAAGTGGGAGTAGTGGAAATGTTAAGTCTAACTTCTCTACTTCTCAGAGAATTTTTTGAGTCTCGTACATGCCAGTGCATGCGATGCATTTATGTGGCAAAATGAACGTGCTTAATTTTGAATGTGCTTGGAGTAACTGCATGGAACTCGCCCTCTCTCTCTAGGGGACCGAGGCATAAGCTACCTGGCAGGATTCTCCTGGTGTTAATCTTGTGGCACGTAGCTTTTGATGGTGACTGTCTTGTTGGTCACCCTGTTTGGGTTTCTCTTTTTGCTGACTGTATTTCTTGGTGGCTGCATGCAGGTTGCCATCTATCATCAAGCTCAATGGAAGCATTGTTGCCGATGGGGAGCGAGAGGACTCAGAGCGATTCTTCATCCGATATTACATGGAGTTCCCAGAGGAGGAAGTCCCATTCAGGTATGAATTCTTTGTTGTGGAATGGAGAGCAGGGGCAGAAAGGCGGCGAGGCAAAAGGAAAGGTGACTGAACAGATGATGTTACATGGGAAATCTGGGCTAGCCGTTCCATGAAAAAATCATCCCTCGCCTTCCTTCTGTCTTGCCTTCCTCAATCTGTTTTAGTTAATGTCGTTATATTAGAGTGTTGTCTGATGACTTGTAGAATCACTTCTGAGTCAAATTTGATCTTAAAGTGTCCGTGTCAAGTGCCATTAAACAACATGACTGCTCAGTTCATGATCTTCATTGCTTCCTGGCCTCCCTGATGGCTAGCTTTGTAATCCACCTGTGTTTGGGAGTCCCCAAAAGCCAGTACAGATCGTGCTCTCTGGTGCCAGGCTGGGACGTCTAATTCTCTTGACCATCTGGTGTGTGGAATGTGACTGGCGATGGGAAGCTGTCCCCTCACTTTCAGGCCCGCAAATCGCAAGTCTGATGGTTTTTCTTTGCCAAAAAAGTATGCCCAATGATCCGCTAATCTTGGTAAACTAATGAACTTTGACAGATGCTGTTCAGTCGGTATCTTCTCTGTGCCAGCATCTACTTACTGCTTCTTAATGGGCTGAGGAAGGATCATAGAGCCACTGCATTTATGTGCCTTTTGCCCTAGAGCCCTTGTGCGCTTTTCAGACAACAAAGCTTCATAGCCCTTTCTTTACAGAAAGGGGGTAGGACAAGAGTGTGTGTGTCTGGAGGGACAGACAGAGGTAGGGACAAACCGAGGTAGAGAAGGCTGAAGGTATGGCCCAGTATGGATGACAAAGGTGCAAATGGAATCTGGCCGGTGTTTACATTGGCTGGTCAGTGTTTCTCCCAGCTTAACTCTTAGGTAAAATGTCTTTTGTTTTCCGAAAGCAGTGTGTATGTGACCTGCCAATACAGTAAGGGCATGGGAAGGCTGGAATGGGGAATGGGGGCATGGCATTTTGCATGAATACTAATAGGTCCAGTGATTATAGTGTTTGTTAAAGGCGTACTGGGGTCAGTTCAGAGGCAAAGGGTACTAATGTAGTTAGGGAGACAAGACAGCTGGTGATCCCTCTTGTGCCTTTTTCTGAGGACAAGTCCTGGCTTGTAATTTTAGAAGCTCTTGAAGCGGAAAAATTGAAACAAATATTGGAAGGGATAGCAGCAGAGGCGTAGAATGCAGGGGAGAGGAAGGGGAAGGGGAGACGGGGACTGTGAGCTCATGGTGCTGCTCCTAAAGTGGATTATTTTCCGTAACATTTTATTTCTAAGAAAACTGTTTTGTGTCTCTGTGTTCATGGCCCTAGAAGGGGAGAATAGCAGGGCAGCTGAACCCAACAGCTGCAGCGGAGTCCTGCCCTTTGGTGAACGGGGCTTGGGCTGACCTGGAAAACCAGCCAGGAGAAGGCAAGGCTCTCGCACTGAAAGCGGTGTATTCGGTTGCAGACTGGGAGGGGAACTAAGGTGCAAGTAGCCCTTTGATCCTGGTGGAACAGGTGAGCCGCCCTGAGCTCAGGAGGAAGGGTTTGTGCACGAGAGGGAAGGTAAATAAATAGCTGGCAGGCTCTGAATCTTTTTCTGCTGGACTTGCGTCTCTGGGTATTGTGGTGACAGATGCCTTGCGTGTCCAGCACCCATATATTGTTGAGAAGGACACAGTGGGGTATAGTTTTAGACATGCATGATGCTACTCTTGGGACGTGGACTTTGGGAACAGGCTGTGTGCACCCATGTAGTTACACAGTACCACACACAACTGGGGTCAGTTTCCAGGTGGGAGCTCATGTAAGAAGTTACTAATATCTCACCCATCCAAAAAAGCTGGGCTGATCTTGACCAACATGCTAGCTTTATGCTATTTTGGTAAGATACAGGAGAATTACCTCCCCTTCTGATTTCTTAACCTTTAAACACTGTAACTGCCCTTTCCATGGTCAATGGGCTCTTTGTCTGAATCCCTTCATCTGTGCAGCGTTTCCAAGAGACTTGTGCAGCTACTAAAGAGGGTTGTTCTGTTCTGGAGGAGTTGTGTACCACTACAGACTATTTTCTAATGAGGCTGCAGATGGCTGAGAGTGTCCCTAGTGCCAAGGGCCGGGTTTCAGTTCCTGGACCCATACGCAGCAGCCCTTGTAGGAAGGAAAACCTGGCATTCTTTGCAGAGAGATTTTGTGTGTGTTTGTTGCTAAAGCTTCCTCTTCTTTGCTCCCAAATCTGGTGTGGTCTCTCTGAAGGTGGTTTGTAATTAGAATCTAATTACACACACATGTTGTTGCTGGGGGTACAGCATCTGCATTGCAGTGCTGCCTCAAGCGGAGGAAGAAGACACACTTGGGCACGGAAAACTTAGGAGTGTAAACAGCCCCCCTCAAGACTGTCGAGGTGTAGCGTGCGATAAGCGAACAGCACGCTCTGTCACGGCAACCCCTGCTTGTATTGCATGTCATCACGGGCTGCAGCTCGAAGGGATCGGAAAGGCAGGGAAATGGACAGAATAATTTCACTCTCTGGATGTCGTGGACTAGAAAGGAGCGCTGAGCGTACAATCCAATATTGGCTGTCTTCTTGAGTGACGTCTTTGTGTCTGTGGGTTTTTAATGAGTCCTCTGCTTGTCTGGCCCGCTGTTTATCTGCAGAGTATTAGAGACACTTCAGGCTCAGTTCTTCAGCATCTTCTGCTCTGGCAGTCAGTGTCTGCTGGGCTGCAAGGGTGATTATAAAAGTCTCCAGGGTGCCTATTATCGGGGTACAGAAGAACCATATGAGCAGTGTGCCTTCGTCCTTATTGATTTGAGGGAAGCCAGTCATTCAGAATCCTAACTTTCTTTGCAGGCTGCAGCTAGCATACAAGGAGCAGGCTGTGAAGCTTGTTCTGCCTTTCCTTGACATAAGAAAATTTAAGACAACATTGCCTGACCCTCCACATATTAACAGCATGCGTTTGGGTAGTCTTAGCCCACTCACGGTACTTCTGTCTCTCAGCTTGCTTGAAATTTGTCCCCCTCTTTATACTTTTCCCACCATCAACCCTCTTCACTGCAGTTTCCCTTAGCACGTGAATCGTGGCAGTACTTTTAGTCGGCATGTGAGAAATTGCTGGTCTGCAGCATGCGGAGATGGTGAGAGTTGAAGGGATGTCCAAGGTGGGCTGAGGGCCTGGGGCAGCAAGGGACGCATTTGCTCTCTCTACCTCTCCAGTCGGCCGTTGCTGCTGACCTCATCCTTCCGGAGGTGGTGGAAAGTGCTGCAAAGAAACCCTCCTCGTCGGCGACACGTTGGCTAGCACTCGCTCTTACTGTGGGCAGTAGCCCGGTGGGTAAAATATGGGGAGCGCGTTGTCTCCTCTCAGCATTAATGCCTTTTCGAAATAAATAGGCCTGATGCTATCACCCAGGTGACTGTGAGAGCAGGACTTTGGACGCTCTGCCCTGGTGAAGGCTCGTTTTGTCTGTGAGACTGGGGAAATCCTAGTGCGTTGTGGCCCTTACCTCATTTCCCAGCAGACAGAGGGTCTGCTGTTCTCCAGGAACACTCCCTGGGGTCACTCGGCCTGCCAGGTCCCATCATCTCTCAACAGGGGCTGTGACACAGCACCGATCGCATTCAGCTCAGGCTCGGATCGGGAACAAAAAGCTTTCTGTATGGAGCACAGTGGAGGGCCTCTGAAATGTTACCTTTTCTCGGCAGCTCTTGGTCTTTTGTCATTTCAATCACATTGTGTTTTGTGTTGCCGTTTCACCTCTTTCCCAGCCAGGCAGGGGAGATGCAGCCTTGCCTGATGGGAGCGGTACCTGCTGAAGGTGGCGGGAGGGTGAGATGGGTTTTCCATTGCAGGGGATGGCTCCCCGGGACGGACCTTGTGAAGGACAGTTGGAGAACTTGGCTCCAAGGAGAAAGTGACGGTGGAGCATGTGGCTCTGCTAGTAAAATTCCCATGTTGTTTTAGAGTAGGTGTGAAGGGTCAGTTGGCAAGAAGTCCCCCGTTTGTTACCAGCTTCCAAACCATATGGCAGCTCATCTTGATTTGGTGATCTTAGTGATCCCGTGCTCAGTGGAGTGTAACAT